TTGTTGTTATTGTTATTATTATTATTATTTAAAACCCCTAAGGTCCCTTCCAGCTCTGTTATTGTGTTACTTAACCAGCTTCCTTGTCTAAGGCAGAGTTAGATCTCAGATTTCCTGGCTCCTAGTCCAGCACTTAAACCAACTGGAGGGACCAACTGGCTCTTGAACAATCACACAATACTGCAGAAGCCAATAAAACAAAGCCCAAATTGGCATCTCATCCCTTGGATCTGCATTCTTCCTCTTTTTTTTTTTCACGATGAAAGAGAGAAAAACAAACCCAAATTATTACTTAGATTGTAATAATCCAACTTCTTCTGCAGAGCTTTTCTCAGTGTCGCTATTTTTACTAACCACTTAAAGGAAGACACGCACAACGGAGGAGCTTTGTTTGCATTATGTGCGTGAAATACATTTCGTTCTGCGTATGAGGGATTATTTTGGAATAGAAAATTTTCTCCACAGAAGCTTTGGAAGACTTTGCAGTGCTTTCCTAGCCAGGCTGAATATATTGAAAAATAAATATACAAACAAAGTATACAATAAATATGAGGAATGACATAAAACTTCCAGGTGAAATCACATCACCAATTTTATCCATTTTCCCTTCTAATTCTGTTATCCTGTAAAGTTATTTAGGGGGGGTGGGCATCACACCTTTGTATCCTACCAAATCATCTCAGCTGGGGGCTGGCTGGCCTTGCCTGGGTCCACGCTCTTGCTAAGAAAAGTGGGCCAACTTCAGCGGGGGAAAAAGCAACTGCTTGAAATATCTGGAGACTTGTAAAAACTTTATAACGTTGCTTTCACATGCAAAGCTATTTTTTTCCCCCATGTGGCCGAGCGCTGAAAAAAGACCAACTGACATTCCGCAGCTCTGCCAAATATATTATATTTTGCACTGGGGAAAAGACTGCCGGGAATCAATTCGACCCAGTGAAAGGACCAAAATGCCAGAACGGTTGCAACGTTCCACAAACACGGATGTGTGTGTGTATATATCTGTGTGTGTGTTTGTGTGTATGTATGTGTATATATCTGTGTATATATGTATGTATGTATATATATATGTGTGTGTGTGTGTGTATATGTATGTGTATATATATGTGTATGTGTACATATATATATGTGTGTGTGTATGTGTGTGTATATATGTATATGTGTGTATGTATATATGTGTATATATGTGTGTGTGTGTATATATGTGTATATATGTGTATGTGTATATATGTGTGTATGTATACATATGTATAATGTGTGTGTGTATGTGTGTGTATAAGTATATGTGTGTGTATATATATATGTGTGTGTAAGTGTATATATGTGTATGTATGTGTGTATATATGTGTATATATATGTGTATATATATATATATATGTATATATCAACCAACTAACCAAGATAGCCAGCCAATCAGCCAACTAACCAACCAACTAACCAACTATCTAACCGACCAACCAACCAACCAACCAACCATCACCAACAGTGATTCTTACCCAAAGATGCTTTTTCAAGAGGCAACTGGACTTTCTTCTCAACGATTCTCAGAGAGAGCGCTAACGACCAGATGACTACAAAAAACATAAATCCTTCCATTCCTCGCTGTTCAGTCAGAACTGAAGAAGCTTCTGGGATGAGAAGCAAAATGTCTTCAAAGAAAAAAAAACAAAGGAAGTCCAGTTGCCTCTTGAAAAAGCACCTTTGGGACAACCATGACCTGGATGATTGAGAATCTCTCTAGTTGTTGTTAGTTGCGAAGTCGTGTCCGACCCCTCGCGACCCTATGGACAATGTTCCTCCGGGCCTTCCTGTCCTCTACCATCTTCTGGAGTCCATTGAAGCTCACGCCTGCTGCTTCAGGGACTCCCTCCAGCCACCTGCTTCTCTGTCGTCCCCTTCTTCTCTTGCCCTCCATCTTTCCCAGCATCAGGCTCTTCTCCAGGGAGTCCTTCCTTCTCATCAGGTGGCCAAAGGACTTGAGTTTCAACTTCAGGATCTGGCCTTCCAAAGAGCAGTCGGGGTTGATCTCCTCTAGGACTGACCGGTTTGATCGCCTTGCAGTCCAGGGGACTCGCAGGAGCCTTCTCCAGCACCAGAGTTCAAAGGCCTCCATTCTTTGGCGCTCAGTCCAACTTTCACAGCCATACATTGCAACTGGGAAAACCATGGCCTTGACTCTACGCACTTGTTGGCAGGATGATGTCTCTGATTTTTAGTATGCTGTCTGGGTTTGCCATAGCTTTCCTCCCCAGGAGCCAGCATCAATTGGAGAGCATGGTGCAACATCTGAACTGAAGAAGTGTGTGGTGTGATTTCTTAACACAGCCCAGTTCCCCAAAATGCAAAAAAAAAGGGGAGAAGGGGAGGGCAGAGGGGGATCCTGAGCTGTTTGCTTCCATGCCTTTTTATGTTTCACAATGCATTTTGCTATAATTTCTTCCTAGTCTCCAGCTAATGGCTGAATAAGGACAAATGATGCCACAAGGATGTTGCTAGCTTTAATTGTTTCTATTTATACCCTCCTATTTGTAGAAGAAGCAGCAAGTATGGCTTGTATCAGCCCTTCTCAATGAGATGCATCAAGGTAGACTTCTGGAAATTCATCTGTGGCCTTGTGGCCTGAAGATGCTGGAATTGCAACCCAGGCCAGACCAGGAAAGCTGGCTCAGAGGACCCTCCCTCCCAAACGTGTCCTGCCATTTAACATCTCCAGTAGTTCGGAATTAAATATCCCCAAATAGCAAAACCTCAATATTAGTAGAATAGAATAGAATAGAATAGAATAGAATAGAATAGAATAGAATAGAATACAGAATAGAATAGAATACAGAATAGAATATGGAATAGAATAGAATTACAGAATAGAACAGAACAGAATAGAATAGAATATGGAACAGAATAGAATAATGAATGGAATAGAATAGAGAATGGAAGAATGCAGAATGGAATGGAATGGAATGGAATAGAATAGAATAGAATATAGAATGGAATAAAATAGAATATGGAATAGAATATAGAATAGAATGGAATGTAATAGAATGTAATAGAATAGAATAGAATAGAATAGAATAGAATAGAATAGAATAGAATAGAATAGAATAGAATAGAAGGAACGGACCTTGGAGGTCTTCTAGTCCAGTCTAGTTCCTTTAATGATGGTTCGAAGTTGCAACGGCACTGGAAAAAGTGACTTATGACCGTTTTTCACAGTTATGACCATTGCAGTATTCCCCCATGGGTCACGTGGTTAAAATCTGGACCCTTGGCAACCGACTCGTGTTGATGACGGTTGCGGTGTCCCAGGGACACACGTGATCTCCTTTTGTGACCGTCTTACAAGCAAAATCAATGGGGGGAAACCAGATTCACTTAGCAACCGTGTTACTAATGTAAGAACTGCTGTGATTCGCTTAATGTCTGTGGCGAGAAAGATCGTTTAATGGGGCAAAGTCGTAAGTAGAGGACTACCTGTATTCCTGTTCTTGTTGTTATTTCTTCTCAATCAACCCCCCCCACCCCCCTTCAGCCTGGCATTTTCAGTGGCCCTTAGTCACCGATGGGAGATTCTGAATGACACTTCTTGGAATTATTTGCAAGGATTTGGAATTCTCGGTGGACCCATCCGAGGGTCTCAAAGCAATCCTAGTTTGTTTGGTTTCAAGCAATCTAAGTTAGCTTGGACTGAAGCAAGCTTCCAGTTGCCTGGGAGACAGAAGCACCCAGCTCTTTCAGCGCGGAAGCTAAGCTGGCTTGACCTCTGATCCCGTCCTGCCTTTATGTAACCCTGTTTAGAACAAGACATAAACCTGGATAGCGACTCGTGCAACCGCGATTCATTTCTGGACGAATGGTTTGACTTTGTAGCGTGCACGCACTCTGGGAAAACATGCTGGGAGCCGGATAGCCGACAGGAAAGCGGCCTTGATTAACAGGAAGGTATAATTTACACCCGGCGAGATCCGTGTGAACTTTCCAGATTACAGGGTGATTCATGCAGGATCGGTTCTACGGGAGGGGCGGGGCGGGGTGGGGGCAGGCACTGCTGCCCCCCCCCCAGACCCAAATCACACAGTGTCAAGCCACACATCGCTTAATCAGCCTCTTCATGCGTCCAGTAATAATAATAATAATAATAATAATAATAATAAAGTTGGAAGTGACCTTAGAGGTCATCTAGTCCAACCCTCTGCTCAGGGAGGAAACCCTATACCATTTTATACAAGTGGCTGTCCAGTGTTGGAGCCTTCATAGCTTCTGGAGGCAGGTTGTTGTTCCCTCTCTCTGTGTGTACGTCACTAACTTAACAGCTGCAAAGATTCACTTAACAACTTTGGGGAGAAAGGTCATAAAACGGGGCAAAATCCACTTAAGAAATGTCTCACGTAGCCAGATAAATTTGGGTCTTCGTTGTGGTCGTACGTTGAGGACTACTACCTGCAACTGAGTTGGAAGGGACCTTGGGAGGCCTTCTAGTCCACCCTGTGCTCAAGGCAGGAGCCTTATACAGGATGAAGAGCCGGAAGGGACCTCGGGAGGTCTTCTAGTCCACCCTGTGCTCAAGGCAGGAGCCTTAAACAGGATGATAGAGCTGAAAGGGACCTCGGGAGGTCTTCTAATCCATCCCGCTGTTCAAGGCAGGAGCTGTATACAGGACGACAGAGCTGGAAGGGACCTCGGGAGGTCTTCTAGTCCACCCCGCTGCTCAAGGCAGGAGCCTTATACAGAACGACAGAGCCGGAAGGGACCTCGGGTGGTCTTCTAGTCCACCCCACCCTCCCTGCTGAAAAGAAAGAGACCTGATCCCACCCCCTCAAATTGCCCAGTCTATTTTTGATCCATGGGTGGGGGGAAATGCGCTACTCTGGGGTCTGCGTGCGTATCTGTGTGCGGGATGGGGGGGGGGTTCCGACCTCAAGCCCCTTCCCCACGGGGCCGGGAGGAGTGTGTGTGTGTGTGTGTGTGTGTGTGTGTGTGTGTGCGTGTGTGTGGGTCCGGCTTACCTGCTTGCGGAGCGCCTCGAAGGCGGCGCTGATGGTGTGCACCCGGGTCCGCTCGCGGGCGTTGGCCAGCAGGCGCCGGGTCTGCTGCAGCGCTTTCATCTCCGTCCCGGCGCCGGAGCCTCCACCGCCACCGCCGCCTGCCGGGTCGCTCGGCCGCCTGCGAGGCGAAGCGGAGCCCCCGGGGTGGCCGTCGGGCCCGCCGTACAGCACCCGGCAAGGCAGGGGCGGCAAGATGCTCTCGGGGGGCCCCCCGGACGGCGCCTCCTCCTCCTCCTCCGGGAAGGGGGGCCCTGGGCAGCGCAGCGCCGGGAAGGCTCCCTCGCCCCCGGGCAGAGCCCGCGCCTCGCCGAAGCCCGGGGGGCGCGCAGCCCCGGCCGGGCGCACGTGCTCCGAGACCCCCGGTTGTCCTCCGCCGCGCAGCCCCGGCCGGCTCCTGCGCTTGAGCTTCTGGATGCCGCGCAGCTCCTTCAGGCAGAAGCGCTTCCAGCGCGCCTCCGCCTCCATCAGCTGCAAGTTCTTCATGCCGGGCGCTGGGCTGGCTGGGCTGGGCTGGGCCGGGCTGGCGAGCTTTCCCCCGCTCACACACACAGACACACAAACACACACACACACACACACGCACGCACACCCGGACGCGGCGCCTCCCACCCCCCGGCGGCGGCGGCGGCGGCTGCTGCTTTGGCGGCGCCTTTGCGGAGGAGCAGCTGCCGCCGCTCGCCTCTCTCCAAGCGCCGCTTGCGCGGACGGGCGGGCGGGGGAGGCTGTCAGCTGAAGCCCCCGCCGCTGCTGCTGCTGCTGTTGCCGTTGCGGCAGTGTGTGTGTGTGTGTGTGTGTGGTGGGGGGGCGCCCAGCAGCCAAGCCAGCCATCTGGGTTTGCTTAAGCCTCCGTTTGGCCCAGGAGCCCCCCCTCCTTTCCCCCCCAGCCCCCCCCCCAGCCCGGGGGGGGGCGCGATCCGCCGGGAAGGCGCTTCTGCGGAAGCCTTTGCGCAGCTGCTGGGTCGACCCCCCCCCTCCAACCGCCCCCCCCCGTCCGGGTTTCCCCTGGCTGGGCCATCAGCCGCGCAGCCCCCATCCCGAGAAGGAGGGAGAGAGGCGGGGGGGGGGCTACGGTTTTAAGGGGCTTCTTGGGGTGGGGGCAGCCTCTTCTTAGCATTCCCCCCCCTCCGCTGCGCCCATCTGGGCGCATCCTGAGAGACAAAGGCGGTTGAGAATACGGATTGGGAAGGGACCTTGGAGGTCATCTAGGCCGACCCTCTGCTCCAGCAGGAGGCGATTACAGAATCAGTGGGAAGGGACCTTGGAGGTCTTCTAGTCCAGCCCCCTGCTCAAGCAGTAGACCCTTACAGAATCATAGAATAACGGATTGGGAAGGGATCTTGGAGGTCATCTAGACCAGCCCCCTGCTCAAGCAGGAGGCGGTTACAGAATCAGTGGAAAGGGACCTTGGAGGTCTTCTAGTCCAGCCCCCAGCTCAAGCAGCAGATCCTTACAGAATCATAGAATAACAGATTGGGAAGGTACCTTGGAGGTCATCTAGTCCAACCCCCTGCTCAAGCAGGAGGCGGTTACAGAATCAGTGGAAAGGGACCTTGGAGGTCTTCTAGTCCAGCCCCCTGCTCAAGCAGCAGACCCTTACAGAATCATAGAATAACAGATTGGGAAGGGACCTTGGAGGTCATCTAGTCCAACCCCCTGCTCAAGCAGGTTACAGAATCAGTGGAAAGGGACCTTGGAGGTCTTCTAGTCCAGCCCTCTGCTCAAGCAGCAGATCCTTACAGAATCATAGAATAACAGAGTTGGAAGGGACCTTGGAGGTCTTCTAGTCCAGCCCCCTACTCAACCTGATTTCTTCTCTCCTTGGTAAGTTTCCCTCCCTTGCTTCTTGTCCTGCCTTCAGGTGCTTTGGAGAAGAGGTTGACCCATTCTTCTTTGGGGCAGCCCCTCAAATTTTGGAAGACTGCTATCCTGTCACCCCCTGGTCCTTCTCTTCATTAGACTAGACATACCTAGTTCCTGTAAATTGTTCATCTTATGGTTTACCAGAAGACTGCTATCATGTCCCCACCTAATCCTTATTTTCATTAAACTAGACATACCCAATTCCAGCCACCATTCCATATATGCTTTAGCTTTCAGTCCCCTGATCATCTTTGTTGCTCTTCTCTGCACTCTTTCTAGAGCAGTGGTTCTCAACCTTTTTAATGCTGCGACCCCCAACCGGTCGTAAGTCGAGGACTACTCAACCGGTCGTAAGTCGAGGACTACTCAACTGGTGCAGCGCCGTTTGCAGAATGGGACTTTTGGCGGGCTCAGCAGGGCAGAGACCGCCTGGACAATTCCTATGGGCTTTTGAAAGGCAATAGAATTAGACTCTATTCTAGAAATGGTCGTTCGACCCCAAATGGGGTCCCGACCCACAAGTTGAGAACCACTGCCCTAGAGTCTCAACATCTTTTTCGTATTGTGGTGACCAAAACTGGACACCAGTGCAGTATAAAGTGATACCATCACTTCTGATGGTCTTGATACTATCCCTCTATTGTTGCAGGCTTGGATTGTGTTGGCCTTTTTGGCAGCTGAAGCAAACACTGGTGGCTCCTATTTAAGTGGTGGTCTACCAGATTTCCTAGATCCCTCTCACAGGCTTCAGCAAGACAACACCTGTTCTCTACTGGTGGATTTGGTTTTTCCTGCCTAAGTGCAGGGCCTTATTTTTCTCCCCACTGAACTGCCTTTTGTTGGGACAGGGTCCTGTGTTCAAGATCCTTGTGGATCTTCGGTCTATCTTCTAAAACAGAGGTCTTCCAACTTGGCCCTTTGATGACTTGTGGACTTCAACACCCAGAATTCCTCAGCCAGCCTTCATTTTGTTTGTTGGATTTAAGACAGGGGTCTTCAAAGGTGGCCCTTTGATGACTTGTGGACTTCAGCTCCCAGAATTCCTCAGCCAGCCTCCATTTTGTTTGTTAGATTTAAGACAGGGGTCTTCAAACATGGCCCTTTGATGACTTGTGGACTTCAACTCCCAGAATTCCTCAGCCAGCCTCCATTTTGTTTGTTAGATTTAAGACAGGGGTCTTCAAACGTGGCCCTTTGATGACTTGTGGACTTCAGCTCCCAGAATTCCTCAGCCAGCCTCCATTTTGTTTGTTAGATTTAAGACACGGGTCTTCAAAGGTGGTCCTTTGATGACTCGTGGACTTCAACTCCCAGAATTCCTCAGTCAGGCTGAGGAATTCTGGGAGTTGAAGTCCACAAGTCATCAAAGGGCCACCTTTGAAGACCCCTGTTCTAAAAGGTTGGCTATTCCCGCCATCTTGGTGTTGTTTGAGAATTTGATGGGTTCCCCTTCTACTGCCCCTTCCCTTAAATTGTTAAATCCCTGCCTCCCTTCCAGGGTTGCTAGGTTTCATCAGGAATGGGGAAGAATGAAGACGCATGGACAGCCACTGAAGCACCAGGAGAGAAACGTGGGAGGTGAAGCCAGGCTGAGCGCTTGGAGATTATTTCGGTGTGGTGAGGGAAAGACAGAAGACATTCCTCTGCTCTCATTACGGCAGAAATATAATCGGCTAGCCTTGTTTTTCATTCTTGTCTATATCTTCTTTGCCAAAACATTGGGGTGGGGCTGGAACAGTTAGCGGCTGGCCGCCACTGTGTGCAAGGTTTTTAGGGGACAATGTCAAAGGGATGCACCTCAGCGTGGACTCCAGGATTGGGGCAGGCTGTCGTGCGGTCTTCTTGAGGAGAGAGAGAGAGGGAGAGAGAAAGAGGGAGAAAGAAAGAAAGAGGGAGAGAGAGAAAGAGAGGGGCAGAGAGAGAGAAAGAGGGAGAAAGAAAGAAAAAGGGAGAGAGAGGTAAAGAGAGGGAGAGAGAAAGAAAGAAGAAAGAAAGAGAGAGAAAGGGAGAGAGAGAGAAAGAGGCAGAAAGAGAGAAAGAGGGAGAGAGAGAAAGAGAGGGGCAGAGAGAAAGAGGGAGAAAGAAAGAAAAAGGGAGAGAGAGGTAAAGAGGGAGAGAGGGACAGAGAAAGAAAGAAGAAAGAAAGAGAGAGAGAAAGGGAGAGAAAGAGGGAGAAAGAAAGAGGGGGAGAGAGAAAGAGGAAGAGAGGAAGGGAGAGAAAGAGGAAGAGGGGGAGAGAGAAAGGGAGAGAGGGAGAAAGGGGGGAGAGAATGAGAGAGAGAAAGAGGGAAGGAGAGAAAGAGGAGAGAGAGAAGGAGAAAGGGAGAGATGGAGAGAAAGGGAGAGAGAAAAAGAAAAAAGGGAGAAAGAGGGAGAGAGAGAAAGAAGAGAGAGAGAGAGAGAGGGAGAGAGAGAGAGAGAGAGAGGTTTCTGTGGAATCCTTGCTTCTCCTAACTAATGAGATCTTTGCAAGCCAGCCAGTTCTTCTGAAGCTCTTCCTTGCCATCACGTTCAGCGTGGGGTCTTCCCGGTTTGGCTGGCAGATTGCGGGGAACACTTTTGGCTAACTCGTGTCAACCCTTCGAAACAAACGGCCAACATTTTGGCCGTCTTGTTTGTGGCCCTGGAGATGGTGGGAGGGATGTGCTCAGCTTTTTCCAGCCTGGTTTGGGAATTGTAGAAGGTTCTCCTGGTGGAGAAAGGAAAGAAAAAGGAAAGGAAAGGAAAGGAAAGAAAGAAAACAGGCCCAGTTGCTTCAAATTCTGTCACCCCTTTCCTTTTTAGGCACTCCATCAGATGCTTTCATTTTCTGATCTCGATGCCATACATTAAAGTGACACAACGCAAAAGTCTGTTTTCAATTTCCCCAAAAGTTTTCTCCTGTGCAATATATATATATATATATATATATATATATATATATATATATATATATATATATATATATCTTTTTTTTTCCCCCTAAGGAATTTTCAACATTTTCCTCCCCGTTGAAACCCCCCCCCCCGGCCAAGCAACCCCCTCCTCCAGATGGACAGAATCAGACTGTGGAGCTCCTGTTCTTATCTGGCTTATCAGCCAGACCGAGGAACTGGGGAAGAATTTCTCCTTCCATGCATTGTGCAGTCCGGCTGCTGCTGCTGCTGCTGCTGTGGTAGCTTCCACATTTTGGCTAAATTCCAAGGGGGTGGGGGAGTAAGAACATTTGCTTTCTTTCTTTCTTTCTTTCTTTCTTTCTTTCTTTCTTTCTTTCTTTCTTTCTCTCTCTCTCTCTCTCTCCTCTGTCTTTCTCTCTATATGTGTCTCTGTCTCTTATTTTGTGTGTGTGTCTGTCTGTCTATCTATCTATCTATCTCTGTCCCTCTCTCTCTTTCTTTCTCTCTCTCTCTCTCTCTCTCTCCTGTTTTTCTCTCTCTGTGTGTCTCTGTCTTATTTTGTGCCTCTGTCTGTCTGTCTATCTCTGTCACTCTCTCTCTTTCTTTCTTTCTTTCTTTCTTTCTTTCTTTCTTTCTTTCTCTCTCTCTCTCTCTCTCTCTCCTCTGTTTTTTTCTCTCTGTGTGTCTCTGTCTCTTATTTTGTGTGTCTGTCTGTCTGTTGTCTGTCTGTCTATCTATCTCTGTCCCTCTCTCTCTCTCTCTTTCTCTCTCTCTCTCTCTCTCTCTCCTGTTTTTCTCTCTCTGTGTGTCTCTGTCTTATTTTGTGCCTCTGTCTGTCTGTCTATCTATCTCTCTGTCTCTTTCTTTCTTTTTCTCTCTCTCTTCTTTCT